TTTAAAGTTTCAAATGACAGGCTGACTCTCTTGTGAGAGGCTGATGCAGCTGGTGACTTTATGCTGAAGCCAATGCTCATTTATTATTCTGAAAATACTAGGGCCTTAAGAATTATGCTAACTTTACTCTTCCTGTGCCCTGCAACAAAAATAATCAATGAAGCCTAGATGGCAGCACAACCGTTTACAGCATGGTTTACTGAATATTTCAAGCCCACTCTTGAGATCTATCACTCAGAAAAAATAATCCTTTCAAAATATTACTGCACATTGACAATGCACATGGTCACCCAAGAGCTCTGATGGAGATTTACAAGATTAATGTTGTTTTCATGTGTGCTAACACAATATTCATTCTGCAGCCCATAGATCAAGGAATAATTTTGGCTTTTAAGTCTTATTATTTAAACAATACATCTCCTAAGCAATAACTGCCATAGATAGTGATCCCTCTTGTGGATCTGGTCAAAGTATATTGAACACCTTCTGGAAAGGATTCACCATTCTAGATGCCACTCAGAGCATTTGTGATGCATGGGAGGAATTCAAACTATCAAAATTGACAGGAATTTGGAAGAAGTTGATTCCAATACTCATGAATGACTTTCAGGGTCAAGACTTCAGTAAAGGAAGTAACTATAGGTGTGGTGGAAATAGCAAGAGAACTAGAATTAGAAGAAAGCCTGAAGATGTGACTAAATTGCTGCAGTCTTACGATAAAACTTGAATGGATGAGGAGTTGCTTCTAATGGATGAGCAAAACAAGTGGTTTCTTGAGATGTTGAAGATCATCACTTGCATCACTCTTGGTGAAGATGCTGTGAGCATTGTTGAAATGACAGAAAAAGATTTAGAATATTATATATACTTAGTTGATAAAGCAGTAGCAGGGTTTCAGAGGATCAAATTCAATTTTGTTTTTTGTTTTTGTTTTGTTTGAGTTGGAGTCTCACTCTGTTGCCCAGACTGGAGTGCAGTGGCCGCTCCTGGCCACCGCAGCCTCGACCTGCTGGGCTCCAGCGATCGTTCCGCCTCAGTCTTCCAAGTAGCTGCTACTACAGGCGTGCACTACCATGCCCAGTTAATTTTTTGATTTATTGTGGAGATGAGGTCTCGCCAAGTTGCCCAGGTGGGTCTCGAACCCGCGGGCTCAGGCAATCCACTCACCTCAGCCTCCCAAAGGTGCGGTATTACAGGCTGAGCCACCGAGCCCGGCTCGAATTCACTTTTGAAAGAAGATCTACTATGGGTAAAATGCTATAAAATAGCATCACAGGCTACAGATAAATCTTTTGTGAGGGGAAGAATCAATCAACGTTGCAAACTTTATTGTCTTATTTTAAGTAATTGCCACAGCCACCTCAACCTTCAGTGAGCACCACCCTGATCAGTCACCAAGCATCAAGGCAAGTCCCTTCACCAACAAAAAGATTATAACTTGCTGAAGGCTTAGATGATCAGTAGCATTTTCTAACAATAAAGCATTTTAAAATTAAAGCATGCACTTTTTAAAGACATTATGCTATTGTACACTTAATACACTACAGTATAGTGTAAACATAACTTTTATATGCACTGGGTAACCTAAAAACTTGTTACTTGCTTTTTTTCAGTGGTCTTGAACTGAACCCACAATATCTTCTAGATATGCCTGTACCTAAAAACGTGGAAGTAGCTTTGGAATTGAGTAATGCATAGAGGCTGGAAGAATTCTAATGTGCTTGACAGAAAAAAAATCTAGGTTGTTTTGAAGAGAGTGTTGGTAAGAAACTTTACAGGCATCACAGAACCCCAGGGACTTCAAAATTGCAAGAATGGAACACATGTTGCATAGAACTAAGAAAGTGAGAGGTAAGTAAATCAAATGGTTTTACACACCGAAGAAAAAAAGAGAAAGGTGACTCCATTAGTATAACAAACAGCATCCCTAATTTAAGAAGGACTAGCATAAGAAAAAGAAAACATCAGCTGGGTACAGTGGCTCTTGCCTGTAATCCCAGCATTTTGGGAGGTGGAGGCGAGAGGATTGCCTGAGCCCAGGGGTTTGAGACCAGCCTGGGCAACTTGGTGAGACCTCATCTCTACAATAAGTCAAAAAAGACTAGCTGGATGTTGTGGCACACCCCTGTAGTTCCAGCTACTTGGAAGGCTGAGGCGGAAGGATTGCCTGAGCCCAACAGGTTGCGGCTAAGGTGGCCATGAGTGTGCCACTGCACTCCAGCCTGGGTGATAGAGTGTGACTCCAACTCAAAAAAAAAAAAAAGAAAAAGAAAAAAATCATAATTATTGCCATGGAACTATCTAAGCTAATATTACCTTAGAATGAATACACTTTTATTAAAATGCAGAAAGCTAGGTCACAGATGGTCTTCCTCATTTACTTATATTGACCGGACAAATTCAAGCAGTGTATATGAAAAAGTGGATTCTTTATAGTCAGATCAGTCTGAGTCAGACATTGTCACTTAATATAAGTTTAGACAAGTTACAATAAGTGTAACTTTTAGCCTCAATTTTCTTGAGTAATGGACTAATTTTAAGGGTGTATGATCCTTCGGCTATAATCTTCCAAGTAGCTGGAACTAAAGGGGTGTGCCACTATGCCTGGCTAATTTTTTGTTTTATTGTAGAGATGAGATCTCGCCATGTTGCCCAGGCTGGTCTAGAATTTGTGGACTTAAGAAATCCTCTTGCCTCTGCCTCCCAAAGTGCTGGGATTACAAGTGTGAGTCACCAGGCCCAGCCTAGGCTTCACTTTTGATAGTTATTACTTACCTACCCCTTCTAAGTCTCAGTTACATGCCCTTTCCAACCACATCCACAGCACTGGGCACTTACTACACTATATGCTAATTAAACGCTTACTTACTGTTATACTTCCTCAAAGGCTTCTTGGTTACCTTTGTATCCTCCATACTTAGCATAGGTGCCTTTTATACCTGGTAGGCCTCGCGAAGTGTTTCTGGAATGAATCCTACTTAATTTCATTTGTATCCAAGTTTTCTTTCTTTTTTTTTTTTTTTTGAGTTGGAGTCTCACTCTGTCGCCCAGACTGGAGTGCAGTGGCCGCTCCCGGCCACTGCAACCTCGCCTGCTGGGCTCCAGCGATCCTTCCGCCTCAGCCTTCCAAGTAGCTGGAATTACAGGCATGCGCTACCACGCCCGATTTTTTGAGTTATTGTAGAGATGAGGTCTCGCTGCCCAGGCGGGTCTCGAACCCGCGGGCTCAGGCAATCCACTCACCTCAGCCTCCCAAAGGCGCGGGATTACAGGCTGAGCCACCGAGCCCGGCTGTATCCAAGTTTTCTAAGCAACTTCCTCCTGCTTTTTAATTTTTTAATTTTAATTTTTTACTTTTTTTGTTTTGTTTTGAGTTGGCGTCTCACCCTGTCATCCAGGCTGGAGTGCAGTGGCACGCTCATGGCCACCCCAGTGTTGACCTGCTGGGCTCCCGCAATCCTTCGGTCTCAGCCTTCCAAGAAGCCGGAACTACAGGCTTGCGCTACCATGCCCGGCTAATTTTTGTTTTATTGTAAAGACGAGGTCTCGCTGAGTTGACAGGGCTGGTCTCAAACCCGCGGCTCAGGCAATCCACTTGCCTCGGCCTCCCAAAGTGCTGGGATTACAGGCTGAGCCACTGAGCCCGGCCTATTTTTTACTTTTTTTGAGTTGGAGTCTCACTCTGTCACCAAGGCTGGAATGCAGTGGCACACTCACGGCCACCGCAGTCTTGATTTGCTGGACTCCAGCGATCCTTCTGCCTCAGCCTTCCAAGTAGCTGGAACTACAGGCGTATGCTACCACACCCGCTAATTTTTTATTTATTGTAGAGACAAAGTCTCACCAAGTTGCCTGGTCTGTCTTGAACCCGCGGGCTCAGGCTCTTTTCTACTAATTTCAATTTAACTTATACTTCCTGGATAGAGTTTTTTTTTTTTTTTTTGGTATGCCTACAGATAGAATATATCCTAGTTATGTGCTCATAAAACACTGTACTTCCATTCGAATCACTTTTTCCAACTGTAATTAAATAACTGTCTGAAGTCTCTCTACCTGCTAGATTTCTTTATGCAGGCAAAGGTAGTCAGTTTATTATTGTATCCACTATGCCTAGATAGTATAGCCTAAACGTTGGCTGCTAGTTATTAATATTAGTAACTAGCATGGACCCTCAATACATTTTTGGAACCCTGTATAATTGCTTCTATCGGTGCTGTGACGTCACATTCCACAGTCCATGAGGACTGCTTGGTGGTTCCCTCTTATTGACTAACCATAAACACCACCCTTCTTCACCATCTTGTAGCAGGCTATTTCCCCCTTTCTGTGCCTAAGTTTCATCCAGAGGCAACCACAGGTCCTAACATGCAGGCGTTATGTAAGGTTAAGAAAGGCTGCCCCTGAGAATTGTGCACGGGTCAGGAAAGTGCATCGTGTAATCAGCTTGACAAGAAATGAATCTCACAACAGGTCCTCAGAGATATGACCGGATGGGGCCAGCCCATCTTGGGCTCATTTAGTGCGCTCAGATCTCACCAGTCCCCGCTCTGTCTTGCTGTTACTTTTGACAAGCAATTTTGCTGGGACTCGGCTCCCTTGGTTGCTAGACTTTTCGGTTCACCTTCTGGTTATCCGAATTCACTTTTCACCTCATTGAATGGTTATAGGTTACGATTGACGTGTCCAAAACTTCCAGGGATGTGGAATGGGTCCCTGAGACAAATACTCGGGTCTGGGGATGAAACGGGGACAGAACTCAAGTCCCATGGATGAACACTCCGTACCAAGAAGCAGGAACCACACTGGTGCCGCCCTCCCTCCTCTGCACCAGCACAAACCCTCGACTGCCCCTCAGGGTTGTCATCTGGGAACAACGGCCACATCCTCCCGCGAAGGGCCCGGAACTCCAGCCCCAGACTCCAAACAACATTTGCAGGGCCGCGAACTCACCCCCCCCCCCCGGTCCGCATCGCACCCACCCCTTCCCCGGGCCCTGTCACCTTGGCCGCCTGACCCATGGCTCTCCTCATCGCTGCGGCTACCTCTCAGGCGGCCGAATCACCCCGCCTCTAGGCAGCCAATCAACGCCTGGCGTGTACTGTCCAACTCCCGGTAGCCACGTTCCTAGCTCGCCGCAACCAATCACCACGCAGCGTCTCGTTTGTGAGGCTCCGCCTTTCTCAAAAGGACGAGGGAGAGGGGTTTGCTGAGTGGTTGGAATATAATAAAATCGCGAGAAGCCGCAGAACCCAATTACTGGCTAGAGGTGATCGGAAATAATCTCGACGCCATGTTAGTTAGGGGCAGAATCACTTCCGGCACGGGCCGCGTCTGGTATGCAGATGAAGGTGGTGTTTAGTGGATGGCTCCGGCGCCTGTGGTTGTTACTTACCGTTTCTGTCGGCTATTAAAGATATTGTAACGTTTCCCAAGTTGCTGCTGTCTCCTTGGAAATGTGCATAAATAAAGCCAATTCCTAAGAACCACAACGGGTATTGGTTGGAATGCTGACTCCTAAAAGTTCTATTCATCTGTTGTCTAGTTTATTTCTCCAGAAAATGAGGTTGCGTTACTTGCTCAAATTAACATGGCCAGTAAATGGAGGTCTGGGATACAAATCCGCTATTCCTGACCCAAAGCCTAGTCTTACTCTCTGCGCCTTGCCTGCTCAACTCTCCCTTCTCCTTGGTTTTTCTAAAAGAGACGTTGGAAGTGGGTAATTTACTAGCAGCATGATAATTTTAATCATAAAGTATGTATTTAAGCGTTTTATGACCGTACAAGCATCAAGACCAATCTTAATCTATTCCTATTGCATAATCATTTGCCTGCCCTATTCCCAAAACCTTTCATATAAATCTGTAGGTAAAATTGGCTTTTTATTAATAAAGATTTGGACCAATAGATTTCTAAGACCCTTTTCCTTCTCTGTGATCTACGTTATTTTAAAGAATATTGCAAGTCATCATGAGAATAGCAAAATAATAATTTTTTTTGGTTTATAAAAATTGAAGTGCATTGGATTTGCAGAAGGGTATTTAACATAAGCAATTAAGCCAAATGTACTGGGTATTGCCTTTTATCCAGGAAACAATACATTCGATAAACTTGAACTTTGCCTTGTGCCTTCTGAATGATGACAATGGTTAAAGAATGTTCCTCATCCATGTAGAATTACACCCCAATTTCCTGAAAATTTGTAATTTAGTATGATAACTTCTGGTTAGCAAGGGTCCTGTATTCAGTTAACCAAAACCTCTCATCTATAGATATTTGAAAATATAGTTCCTATAGTGCTCAAATCAGTTCATTCCTGTATTTCCTCATAGATAAATTTAAGCTGGGCACAGTGGCTCATGCCTGTAATCCCGGCGACTTGGGAGGATGAAACAGGAGAATTGCTTGCGCCCAGAAGCTCAAAACCAGCCTAGGCAACATAGTGAGATTCCCATCTTAAAAAAAAAAAAAAAAAATAGTTGGTCACAATGACTCACACCTGTAAACCCAGCCCTTTTGGAGGCTGAGGTGAAAGGATTGCTTGAGTCCAAGAGTTCAAGACCAGCCTGGGCAGCATAGCGAGACCTCCTCTTTATAAAAAAATTAAAAAATTAGCCAGGCGTGGTGGCATGTGCCTGTAGTCCTAGCTACTTGGGAGGCTGAAGTGGAAGGGTTGCCTGAGCCTAGGAGGTTGAGGCTGCAGTGAACTGTGATTGTGCCACTGTACTCCAGTATGGACAACAGAGTGAGATTCCACCTCAAATATTAATAGATAGATAGATAAATGGATAGATAATCTGTATATTTCCTTTAACCATTTCACATAAAAAATGGTTAACTATCTGGGCATTCTGGGAACATGTCTAGGTTTGTCTTTTCAACCTAAAATAATCAAAAGGCTCAGGATCCAGTTAAAAGAGTATATTCAAGCACAAAGTGTAAGGGCAGAGATACACTGACAACCATATGGAGATACACTGAATGGTGATCAGTGCTCTTTGTGTGGAGAAAAGTGGAGATCATTTATTTATGTAGATGAAAATGGAGATGCTGAACAGAATTATAGCATTTTCCATATAAGATACAGATAACATACAGATACAAGATTTGATTGGTAACTATTGATTACACTCTAAGGGTTTGCATAACATTCTGTTATAAAAAGGTAGCAATCACAAAGGTCTCTATCTCCAACATCATTTACCCTAGGTTTGAAAAAGAATAGAGAATATGGTTAATGTGTAACATCTCAACACAGGCCGGGTGTGGTGGCTCATGCCTGTAATCCTAGTACTTTAGGAGGCCAAGGTGGGAGGGTCGCTTGAGACCAAGAGTTCAAGACTAGCCTGGGCAACAAAGTTTACCTTGTCTTCAATTTAAAACATTTAAAAAATTCTTTTAAAAAACCACATCTCAACACAAAGGTCAGAAAGTAATAGTAATGCACCAGAGAAGAAAAATAGCCATATTTCAAGACTCAGTTTTCAGGGCTTAATTTTTTCCCTTGACATAATATATTTTGGAAAGTACTGAAATTTTATTTTAGCTTTACAGTGTGCGTCTCAAAGTATAAGTTCCAGAACTGAACAAGAAATTCCAACATGTTCATTATGTAAGCTCAGGGAGTTATGTAATAGGCTGAATAATGGCCTTCAAAAGATGACAATATTTAGATACTAGGAACCTCCGATTATAGTACCTCAAATGACAAAAGGGACTTTGCAGATGTGATTAAAGATTCTGAGATTGGAAGATTATCCTGGATTGTCTTGCAGGCCCAATGTAATCACAAGTATACTTATAACTGGAAGAAGGAAGTAGAGTCAGGGAGAAGCTTGAAGATGTTCTACTGCTGAACTTGAAGATGGAGGAAGAGGTCACAAACCAAGGAAAGCAGGCTACCTCCAGAAACTGGAAAAGATAAGGTTCTTCCCTAGAACCTCCAGAAGGAATGCAGCCTTACTGACATCTTGATTTTACTTCGGTGAAACTCAATTTGGACTTTTGACTTTCAAAATGCCACTTGTTTATGACTGCTTCCATTTTCAAGGCCAATAATGAAGCATCTTCATATCTCTGACTCTTACACTTGCTTCCATTGTCACATCTCTCACTCTGCTGGGTCTTTCTGTTACTTAGCAGGGCCCCTGTGATTACATTGGGCCCACCTGGATAATCCAGAAATCTTCCTATCCCAAGATCCTTAACGTAAACACATCTGCAAAATTTCATTTATTTATTTATTTATTTATTTTTTGAGTTGGAGTCTCATTCCGTCGCCCAGACTGGAGTGCAGTGGCCGCTCCCGGCCACCGCAGCCTCCACCTGCTGGGCTCTGGCGATCCTTCCGCCTCAGCCTTCCAAGTAGCTGGAACTACAGGTGCGCGCTACCACACCCGGCTAATTTTTTGATTTATTGTAGAGATGAGGTCTCACTAAATTGCCCAAGTGGGTCTCGAACCCGCGGGCTCAGGCAATCCACTCACCTCAGCCTCCCAAGGCCCAGGATTACAGGCTGAGCACCGAGCCCGGCTCAAAATTTCATTTATAATTTAAAATAACATATTTACAGGCTCCAGGAACTAGGACATGGGAATCTTCTGCCTACCACACCTAGTTGGGTGAAGCTAGACAAAAAGGTTGAAATGGCAGGAAATGAGGTAGAAGTTGTAGTCATAGGGTGTGACTACATAGGGGCCTATAAACCAAGATGAGGATTTGGGATTTTATCCTGTGATGGAATGCATTAGAATATTAGCAGCAGAAAAGTGACATCATGATTTATATCTTACAAAGGTAATTTTAGGTGCTGTGTGGCAAACTGACTAGTGGAAGCAGAGAGGATCTTTAACTAGGAGACTATCAAAGTACTCCAGGCAAGAGACAATAGTAGCTTGGATTAGAGTAGTGGAAGTAATGAAAGTAACATGGGATTAGATTCATGATATGTGTTGAAAGTATGGAGAGAACATTTAAGGATGATTTCAAGGCTTTTGGGTTGAGTAGTTGGGTGATTGGTGGTATAGATAATAGATATAGAATACTGTAGGAGGTTTTGGGTTTTTTGTTGTGGAGGGAGTAAAAATAAATTTGTAGTGCCTGTTAGCCATCTACATGGAGGTAGTAAAGAGGCAGTAATATATATTATAACAGTCTGGAATTAAGAGGAGAGGTAGGTCAAGAGATAAATATGCGCGAGTCACTACTCTGTAGATGATGAAGCCTCCAGAATGAGTGAAAGTTGACCATATTATTTATTATTCAAATCAGCATACATTTTGTTTTAATCTTTTAATTTGACAATTTCACACTTACAAAAAAGTTGCAAGGATAATACATAGAATTTTCATATACTTTTCATTCAGATTTCCCAAATATTAATTTTACTATAATTATATTTTTTATCTCTCTACTTACCTATAGATGAACCTCTTCCCCCCCTGAACTGTTTATGTGCTGCAGACATGATACCCTATACCCCTGAATAGGTTTTTTTTTTCCTACAAAGACATTCCCGTACATCAGTGGTTGTCAAAGGGTCAACAACTATATCACCCGGAAAGCTAGACACCTAATTTAGAGGGCCTCACCCCAGACCAACTGATTTTGATAATTTTGTTGTGGTTATGAAAGGAAATTAACATGAGATTTCAAAACTATCATCTAATTTTAGGTATTATTTAGATTTCACCAATTGTCCCAGTAACGTCTTTGATTACAAAAGTATCAAATGGGACACTTTTGAGATGAAAGAAAACTATCACCAATAATTTTGCCAAAGCAAAGTGGCAAAGTGTAATCATTTAAGACAGTTGAGGCATAATTTTTCTTAATAAGGACTCTTAGGGATTAAACGTTAGCTAGAGAAGAAGTCCAAGAATGGAACCTATTGAGAAACCTGGAACTGCAAGGTCCCTGTTAGAGAAATAGTATCTAGAGAGGTAGAAGAGCGGACTATTGCTGAAAGGAGGGAATGGTCAACAGTGGCAAATGATGAGAACTGGAGCTGCCTACAGGATTTTATCAGTAGAGGTCCTTAGTGACCTTGACAAGAGGGAAATGGGCTCAAAAATGAAAGGAGAAAGTGGACACAATATGTAGAAAAGTGTTTTGAAAAGAGGTAAAGATGTGAAGGATTTAAGGAAGGGTTTGTTCCTTTAAAGTGGGTTATTTTACATTATGTTGATTGCTGCTGTAAAGAATTCTTTGTGAAACAGTCTAGGAAGGTTTACAAACTACCGGTGCCTGGCTCTTATCTCCAGAGGTTCTGATTTAGTTGATCTGGGGTGCAGCCGAGTTCACGGGGATTTTTAAAAGCTCCTCAAATGATTTAATGTGTGGTCAGAGTAGAGTGTCACTGGCAGAGAAAAAATCGGATGCAGGGAGGGCTTAGTTGCTGAAGCCAAGGCCTTAAAAATAGCCGTTGAGGGACGTGCTACGTGTCTCAGCCAGCAGACGTGGCTAGCACCACTTCAATGATCTAATCTTTTCAGTTACGGTGTCCAGTGTTTCCTACTCGCGTCCATAGGCAAATTAAGGACTTATACCAGTAACTCCACTCCCCGGGCAACAAGAAAGGAAGAAAAAAAAACGGCCTCGGAGCGCCTCCCTGGAAGGAAGCCGGCCCCAGCCAGTCCCCGCGGAGACTCCGCTGCAGCACCCGCACCCGCCTCAGTCGCAGCGCAGGGCGCCAGTGCGCACGCGCAGAACCAGACGGGGCGCGCGGGCAGCGGTCCCTGCGCAGGCTTGGCCGCGCGCTCCCGCGCTGCGCGCGCCCGGGGTTCCTTCCCTCCTCCGGAGCCCGTCCCCAGGCCGCCGCGCGGGAGGGAGGCCGAGATGGCAGATGAGATCGCCAAGGCTCAGGTCGCCCGGCCTGGTGGCGACACGATCTTCGGGAAGATCATCCGCAAGGAAATCCCAGCCAAAATCATTTTTGAGGATGATCGGGTAGGGCACCGGGCACCGTCTCGCTCGTGGGCTGAGGCGGGAGTAGCCGCCGGTGGACACGCCGGTTTCCCGCGGAGGGACGGAAGGGAAGGGCCAGGA